TTTTTCTTCATGTGAGAGCAAGTTTTGGGAAAGCATTCTGTGCCATTAAATTTTGGGTTAGGCAATGTGTGTGGGGTTTGCAGAAACAAGGAGCTGCATAAGCAACCGGAGTGTTCTCTTTGTCTCCGTTTCTGATCACAGTTGCTCCCTACGAACTAAACGTGGATGCTGGGCTGACATTTTGGAGAGAAGAAAATGCCCTTCATGTTTGTGGATCATCTCATTTGAGCAATGGTGTGCATGAAGCAAGTTACATTTAAAGTAAAGGAAGGTGACCCGTGCGGTCTCCAATATCTGTTACTATTCAAAGAGTTGCAGTACAAATGTTAGTCAGACCCCCGTATCAGAAAAAGGAGCACTATGACAGAAATCCTCCCCAACAAGATGATAACTAATTTAACTATCTGCTACCTATGCTGGTTGAATTGGATTGGTATTTAGTATAGTTGAGCTCAATCCATTCCACATGTAATTCCTGACTTCAGTGGAGATGCACCCTTATTTGACATGTTGACTTCCCTTCAATGGGTTTGTTCTCATTTGCATCAGATGAAGATTTGGTACACTGTCATTAACACAAGGTGCAAATGCTGTCAAAAAAAGCTCTATTGGACAAACTGAGATGCTTTGGCAGAGCCATCCCCAAATGTGAAGCAGCCTGAGGCAGACAGGCTTGCATTAGCAAAGACTAAATTCCAGAGGGCCAGACTGTGATCTCGGCCACTATTGTGTAACAGGAAGCAACTTTAGTTCAGTGAGTTCAGAATCTGAGGGGCATATGAAACAGAAATATGAAATACATCCAGGTTCTACAATCTTGACAGTTCTGTGTTGGCTGGACTTTGTAATTGAAACAAAGGAACCACAAGGTGACAATGAACTGGGCCTAAGAGACAGCATGAATGATCTAATGGATGAAGCACAGGACCCAAGGTTAGGAGACCTGGCATTCATTCCCATCTCTGCCAATGGCCTGCTGTGTAACCTGGGGCAAGTCACTGTATAGCTCAAGATAGCAGTGGACCTGATCTCTGAGGCCCTTGGTGCTACTGTAACACTATTAAGAGTGATAATCCTAGTATTTATCTGTATTAAAATAGTCTCCTGTTGAAGTTTTCCTGTAGCAACATATAAATTACACTTTGCCTCAACACCTGTCCAATTCTCTCTCACTACAGTATGTAAAATAAAAATAATCTTACAATTTAGGGGTCACTGAACTTTTCTCATTAATGGCAAACTGTCTTTTTTAATATCTTCTCTGGGTTTTAGTGTTTTCCATGCACATTATTTGTCTGCTCATCTTCTGAGGCAAACTTATGGGGGGAGACCAGGTGCTACAAAACTTATGCCATGTTGACGCTCCTTGGCTAATCTATTATGTATTGCAGGATCTTGCTTTGGGGTCCTCCTAGGTTTCCTGGTTTCCAAGTTAACACAGCAAAGGATTACTGCAGAAATTATTCTCTTTGAGCAGAATTCTGAACTAAATGGTTATGTGGAGTCAGGGGGATGAATATTTTTTGCATGAATAAATTTTCCTATTTGCTTTGAGCTTTTTAGGAATTGAAACATTAACAGAGATAAAATATCTCTAAGACCCTACGGGAAATGATGTGGGGGGCTGTTAATTAACAAATACCTACCTGTCCACCTCAGCTAAGATAACGAGTTTATTTTTGCTAGGTTTTAAGAGCAAAATAATATTAAAACTATTGAAGACCCTGCAGAGTGCATGGAGGCAAGTGGAAAGCAGCTGGTTGGGAAAAGCAGGGGGAAAAAGAGAGTGTTGGAGGAAGACAGAGAGTGGCAAAGATTGCTGCATGTTCTGTTTGTCTTTCTCAGACCTAAAGTCATGTTTTTTGGGGAACAGGGTTGAATAGAACTTATTAATACATGCAAATTTTGTTAAGACCCAGGCATACAATTTAGGTGTGACACAATCACATAAACTGTCTTTTAATTTGCTTCTCTACCTCCTGAGTATATTAATAAAACTTCATCATAGAGAAGCTGGTTTTGAGTCACTTTAATCAGCCTCTGGCCACATGTTCCCAGAGGGAATGGTTTTATAGGTGCTGAATGCGATTTGACCTCTTGCCTTTTTTTCAACAGCTGAAGAATGGGAAGACTGCAGCTCAGAAACCCAAAGAGCTGCGTGGTTCCTCTCTGAAAGGCAGAATAGAGTAAAATCTATTGTCCAAGGGTTGCACTCTAGAGGCATGTCCCCACGAGCATGTTTGTGGTGCCGCTAATCACAGGCAACATGTATGCATTCATTCACCATGCTGCTGATTTGCAGGATGGCAGGCTTTTTTTACATAAGGAGATCCCAGTGTCAAAAAATCCACTAAGAAGTGGTGTGGTGCACATGGCTTCAGCATCAGCGTGTACCACCATAAAGCGAGCCTGGGCAAGCAGAGCCGCACTGAATGTCCCTGTGGAATGAGCACTAGCTGATCAGCGCTGCGTGTCAGTCAGACTGGTTTTGGACCGATTTGATTCTGTTGAATGTGGAATTCAGTCCAGTGATTAGGACTCCTCAGACTCTTGCTTTACTTCGACTTCTTTGGTCTTCCAGGACTGTGCTTACAACTTGAAACTTAGCAAAGCCTAACTTTTCTCTTAGACATTTTTTTTTCTGTTTGACTCAGATAATAAATTCTGAGCCTTTTATTGCATTTCAAGTTTGTTGAGGTCTGAGATATTTACATACAACTGTGAAGAAATAAGCACTCCAATATAAGACTAAATGGAGGTTAAATAGATTAAAATTGAAAATATTTTCTAGAATTTCTGTATCTGAGGTGACAAACTTTTTCTGGCTGAAGGAAAAGCTCTCCTCTACCCATAGAAATAGATATTGTAGACATTTATGTTGGTGAAGGAAATAATTTTGAAATGTGATAACTGCAGATATTCTATTAGAAACTCCACATCTGCAATAAATTGTAGATTATTTTTGTTGCCATTAAAATTATATTAGGGGGAAAATTACTTCAGCACTGATAGAATCTTAGTTTATTTTTAAGCCAGCTGACCTTTAGTGATCCCCGTTTGTACAAACTGGGAAACAGACTGAAGTTAAGACTTCAGGAACAGTTACATATTTTGGTGTTGGAAAATATGGTTTCCCTCAGCCAAGTAAACATGTTTCCTGACACTGTTTTCTGCTCATCTGATTAAGGCACTAAGAAAGTGATGGTTGTCTCATGCTACAGACGGTACATATTCACTGTGTGAGAGAGACCCTGCCAAAATAAACTGAATAAGTGGAGCAGACATAGAGCAGTGAAGGGTCTTGTAAGCTGGCAACAGAACGTAGGTGTTTCTGACTCCCAACATGCTAGACCATGCTATCTTGGGCTTGCTTTTTGGAAACAACTGTTCAAAACTCTCTAATTCTCCCTCCTTCGCCTCTGCCTTGCCCATTGTTGGTACCCTACAGGACAGTGGTAGTCTGAAGAGATTTTCATTTTCCTGAAAGGGATAAACACAGCCTTATCCTATATTTTACTAGGAGCATTATGTTAGGTGGAAAGAGAAAGGGCTCCAGAGGTCCTTTCCAGCTACATCCAGTATAGTGAGGAGGTGCCTGGTCTGTGCTTGTGTCAGGATTTTTGCTCTCCTCATGACAATTTAATTCTGTAACATTTATTGGTTTAGAAGGTACAGCCATTCTAATTTTTTAATTTTGTGCTGCAACAGGTCAGAATTGTCAGGAAAGATTTAATTTGGGGGAAAAGAAGGTCTTGTTTTATTAGCTAAGGTGAAATAACAGTTATGGAATAAAAGGAAGCAGAAGGAATTTACTGTCATACAGAAATGGGTTTTAGTGATGTGCTTATATCTCACACTGACTTACAAGCAAACCATATTTATTTATCCTAGTTGCCTACCTGTACAAGATCTAGCATTTACAAAGCTAGTATGTAATTTAAACTGAAATAAAATGCTAGTTTTTACATGGGGATACAGTAACACTTGCTATTACCTTTATTCTCTCCTGCATACACCTTCCTCTTTCTCCTGAATCCAGGGGGAAAAAAATAGGACAACGCTGCTGTTCCTGCAGTTCCATTCCATCTCTGAGTCACAGCAAAGAGCCGCTCTTCTGCCTGCATGGGATGCAGTAGCATTTGCACTCCTGCATACTTTTGATCATTAGTTTTGGGCAGTGAATTAATATAGATGGTCACAACCCTGCCCCAGTCTCCTGCAGGCACTGAGGTTGCTCCATTGGATCTTCCATGTCAGATTGAGGGGTGGGATTTGTCCCAAAGGCATTAAAAGGCTGGGGTTGTTCAGTAATGGCCTTTCCCAGCACTTTTGATGTGCTTTTAGATGGCAGGATCCTGAAAGAGACAAGTATAAAACTGCACCTTAGGGATCTTGGCCTGTTGTATCCTGTGAGCCCTACCTTGTTATCACCCTACTCCTAGGTCAACAGTACATGCTTTATAGTCTCCACTTGCATCATCTTCCCAGTCCTACTGAAATTAGAAATATTTATGTGGGTTCATTCTGAACAGAGCCTGGTCTTTTAACAGCTAAATATCTGGGGAAGGCTTTCACCTATGAAAGTGAAGCATTTGTTTATTTTACATTGCTAAATGCTTTTCTGGGCATTCTTAAAGTGTTTGTGGGTGCTGAGAGCCAGAGGAAGCTAGGTACTTTCTATTTCTTGTACTCAGCATATGAACTTCTTTAAAAGATTTAATAAGGGTTTTTTTCCCACCCTACTTATTTTCAAGATTTGAGCATCTCAGTTATTCAAAGGTTCTCAGTGTTTTGGATGCTATCAGGGTTGCAGTGTTCTCTAGAGGCAGACAGGTGGCGTAAACGTACAGACAAAATTGTCTCAAAATAGCTGAAACTATTCTTTTCTCCTGTATTCTCTCACCAGCTCCGTTGGGCTGGTGGTTTGTGACTGGCGAAGGTGACGTCAATGTGGCAGTGCAGTCAGGTGATGCACGGTATAAGCAGAGGGAGCTGTCCTGGTGCTGAAAACACTCCACAAACTCGGAGCAGACAGACAAGGAGGAAGGTGCTTTGCTGTCACTCTGCAGTCTCTAAGACACACAGGTAAAGCAGCTTTTTTATCATAGTGCAGAGAGATGCTCAATGTAATCTTTTCTGTTCATAGCATTTTAAAGACTACACAATTGTAGGAAAACAGCACAACCGGGGCAACCATTTGAAATAACAACCTGATGCACTTCAGTTGGCACTGAAATGGTGCTGCCTGGCTGACTGCAGGTTTTTCCTCTTCCTTTTTATTCTTTTCTCTAATTGTTATAGGATTTTAAAATAATTAAAAGAGTAGAACTAAAAATAGAGAGTAAGGGGCGGGGGGGAGGGTAAGTGAATGATTCTGCAGTTAATGTTTACAATGTGGTACCAGATTAATTTGTTCAATGAAGCTAACAAGCATCATGTTTCTGTCTGCAAATCTTTTGGCCTCTTAGTGGTTCACTGACATGTTTACAACATCATTCTTTAGGCTTTATGGGTGTAAGAGGAGGGGTTGCCTTGGATACAAATACAATTCAATTAATCCTCTACACATCTAAACAGTTGTTTTAATAATTTGGGAACTGTTTGGCTTATGAGACCCTAAAAATAGTCTTTATTATTAATATTTATACTCCTTGCCATAGGGATACAAATTTAGACCAGCTTTAAGAAGGCTAATTTAGTGCATATAGTTTTAATTGCTAGGAAAGTAAATCTGCTAACAATAAAGAAGGCATGTTGCCTTTCCATATTTTCCTTATGGGAAGACACCCATTCTCCCTAGAGCTCATGAAATCTTTGTAAGTTCCATAGGAAAAGAGTTCTCATGACAATTTTTTATAGAAAATTTTACATTCTTATCAGAGAACCATGTGAATCTACAGTGAGGGACTGGGGGAGAAATATTACCGCTGCCATGGAAACCTTAGCGATAGAATTCATTTTATTATTTTGCTTCTTTTCTAAAGAACCTCTGTCATTGTGTTACCTTTGATAGTGTGCATTACACTGACAATTTGCTTTCCTCGTTTTCTTAAATGGTGACTGCCTAATCTGATATAAAAGAATTTGGGTAAGGAATAATTTTGCTGTTTGTCAGGTACAAACTATACAGATACTACAACACAAATGAATACAAACACCTTGATCAATCTAGATTGATCTCTCAATTATGTATCTATCGGGGAAACAACCATTTAAAAATGGTGTATTTTAAGAGGACTAATATGGAATGCTGTGTATAGGTTTTTAAGACATTCATCTTTAAAATGTACTTCATTTTTCTCAAATTGTAAAATTAAAGTTCTGAAATATCAAGGTAAAGCACTTTTACCCTATATAAGGCATTATGTTTAATAAAATAATTTTATAACCTAATGTCAGAGATTTAACCTCAAAACAAAATACATTATTTAATAATACACTAGAAGTGAAACAGATTCAATCAAAAGGATGCCTGCAATACGATGAGAGAATTGTATATGATCTCTTTTCTAAAAACAAAACATTCACTTGAATCAAATGATAGTAGAACTCCAAAGCAAACTTTGCCTTGGTATATCCATCCAATTCAAATTTATTTCAGACATTTTACAGAGGATGTAAAGATGCATACACTGTATGCATTGTAAGTGGTTGAATTCATCACCTCTAGTAGTGGGAGGTTATTAGTGGACTTTTTCCCTAGAAAAGCTAGAGATATTTACTACTTATTATGGAAAATTATTATGCAATAAACTTTCTGCCAAATGAAAATGTACAGAGTATTTGATTAAATATATTAGTTGGTAACTTCTCATTAAACACATTATTTTTTTCCACTAGAAACATTAATTTTATTTGATTACTAGTATAGATTCTATTAAACAGAAAATTGTAAGTGTTTGGGTTTTTTAGTGTCTTGAGAGCTTTTTCCGAGGTTGAAGCCTTTTCTGAAATAGAATATACAGAGCTCTCTCTATTTTGTTTAATGGAAAACTACAGCAGATTTAGAGAGATCCTCTAACCAACAGTAAAACTGATATTCGTAGGTATCAGTCCTGTAGATTATTACTGCATGATGTATTTGATATTCAGACTGATTGTCTGAAGCAGTCAGAGAAAAGGGAAAAACAGTTCTGGGGAACTGATGCTGTTTTCATTAGTTCTTTGTGTCAAGCTATTTCATGTTACACTACAATGAAAAATAACCTGAGTGGAAATACCTATGAGTGAACCAAAGGAAACACATCCACTGTAATTTTCTACTTACCGCGGTGAATAACACACTGCTATATGTAGGTTTCTCTGTCAGCATGAATCACCAGCACCTCAACAGGATGTTTTCCAGAAGCCCATGGGAAAAGTGAAGAGCCAAAATAGGTCAATTAAGAGAAGCGTTTTCTATCTTTACCTTTTTTCTCCTTTACAGTACTTTATTCATTAATGCAACTGCATCAGAGAAGGAAGAGGCTAATACTCCTTACAGCCTATTCCTGTGAGATAAGTGTCTTTGACCACAGTGGGAGTGAAAAAGTGGGCAGTTCCTTGCAGGACGGAGCCTCTGTAGATGCACTTTCATATGTTGCTATACTCCACTCATGTGATTTCTGTATGATGAATATCATTTTTTCACTTGTTTTACTTCTATTTTTTAGATAGAGTGAAATTCTCTGCTGGTGTCAATGGGTGCAGCTGCACTGACATAAAGGGATATCATCCATTTAAACCAATACATAATTTGGCCCATTCTAGTTTCCAGAATTATGTCCACTCTGGGCTCCATGCTACTCCTATTGAAATGAGTGCAGCCACTCTGACTGAAAGAAACAGAATTGGGCTTGTTGCCTTGTTAAAGCCAAAATTAAAAACTGATTGGCCACCCTGAAAAAATTGGTTAGAGGGCACAGAGGAGCCTCTGGCATATTCATTGCCTATGGGGAAATTTTTACCCCTGGAGCTTATTAACTAGAATTCGTGTATGAATAATAATTCATTTAAAATCATCATAAAAGTAAATTATGGAACTCAGTAATAACAGAAAAAAACCTGTAAGTCAACTTCTAGGCCAGGTTCTGCAGTCCATTATATTAATTGAATTTTTGTCTAACACCATTCTGTGGAGTTCCCTTGGCATAACATTATGTAGAAGAATAAACAATTGGGCAGAAAACATAATAGAGTCTCTTACTTAATATCTTGTGCAAATATAGGTGATTTGATATGCCATATACTAAGTCCTTAATTTGATACTCAAACCAGCACTGAGATGAATTAATGGGATATTTGTGAGCTATACAGGATTGGTATATCCTATTAAGGCCCCAGCATGGAATTCATGGAGATTGATTGTGGACTTTTTAATTGTAAAAGGCTCATAATGATTTCTGTAAGTTCTAATGACTTGAGGGAATGACAGGAAAGTTTTCAAGGCTTTCTAAACAGACTCTGAGAAAATATTTATGATTGTCATATAGGAAGCTTGGGAATTTGATTGGCTTCCGTTAATTACTAAAACCACAACCCCATATGGGTTTTTCAAGAATTCTAGTTTAAAATGGCAATCTTACATTAACTATTGCTTCATGATTTACTGATTTTGCCTTCGTATATTAATTCTTGTTTTTCTTTATTTTAAGGAAATATTTCAAACATGGCAGATGCTAAAACCTGCTGTCTTGGAGCAGCCTGCTCTCTCTCCATTTTTTTTGTCCTAATCTGTTGTGTTGATGCAGCTTCATTCCAACATTATCAGATGCTTCAGAAAGATCCAGACTATGTAATGAAAAACTTACAAAGGCTCCCAAGCCCAGATATGATCAGAGCTTTGGAATATATAGAAAGCCTCCGCAAACAAGCTAACAAGGGAGAAAGCAGCCCAGATTATAATTCCTATCAAGGTGCCCCATTTCTTCTGCAGCAGAAAGAAAGCAAAGATCAGAGCTATCTACCAGATAATATAAGGGATTCTTTGACTGAAGATGAGTCACAGTGGGTGAGGGTAATGCTGGAAGCCTTGAGGCAAGCAGAAAAAGAGTCAAAAGCTGGATCAAGAGAAAATAAACCATATACTATGAGTTCAGACAGTAACTTCCCAGTTGGAGTGAATGATGATTATGAAGCTTATAAGTGGCCTGAGAGGCATCCCAAAAATCCCCAAATGCCATACCCATACTATGAAGAAAGTTCAAGAGACAGTCCATTTAAGCGTACCAATGAAATAGTGGAAGAACAATATACGCCCCAAAGTCTTGCTACTTTGGAGTCAGTGTTTCAAGAGTTGGGCAAGATGGCAGGACCAACTAATCACAAAAAAGAAAGGCTAGATGAGGACCAGAAACTGTATACAGATGATGAAGATGATGTATATAAAGTGAATAATATTGCATATGAAGATGTAGTTGGAGGAGAAGACTGGAATCCAATAGAGGAAAAAGTGGAAAGCCAAATCCAAGAAGAGGTAAAAGATAGTAAAGAGGAAATTGATAAGCAAGAAGAAGAAATCAATGAAGAAATGAAGAGGTCAGGGAAACTTGGCATTCTGGAGGATGAAATGAGGAGGGAGAATAAAGAGCAAATGTCAGATGATTTATCTAGGTTAATGAATTACTATCTGAAGCGGCTGATGAGCAGTGGTGGGAATGGGAAGCTAAGGACGGGACAACATGAAATAAAAAGGGCAGCCACATTTTTGGAAAAGCAATTTGATCCTCAGTCTATAGCTCAGTTAATAGAAATCTCAAGGAATTTACAAATCCCTCCTGAGGATTTAATTGATATGTGGAAAGCTGGAGAAAAGAAACAACAACAGAGTGAAAGGCTGGAGACAGAGCAGGAAGCTGAGCTCCCAGAAGATCTTGATGACTTATCAGACACTAATATAGGCCACTCCAATATATTTAAAAATAATAGGAACTCTAAAAATGGATACATGAAGCAGCCCATTAATATTGTGCCGGAAAATCTACCTGAAGACCTCAATATTGAAGATATTGTCAGTCTTTTGGGAACAGATAATTTAGTTAATCAGAATCCCTCCTACTTAGTAAATCAGCTTAATCAAGAAAATAGTTTACCAAGACTGCCCTACATCCCTGGAAGACCTAAAGGATCTCAATTTCCTAACACAGCTTGGATTAATGATTTGGAAAGACGACAAATGGAATATGAAAAACTCAATGAGAAAGATGAAGAACTTGCTGATTACTTGGCAAAGATGTTGGCAAAATACCCTGAAGTTATCAATACAAACCAGATGAAACGAGTCCCAGCCCCAGTTTCATCTGAAAATGATCTGCTGGAAGATGACCAGCTTGAGCAAGCAATCAAAGAACATTTAAATCAACTGGGGCCACAAGAATCTGATAAATTAGCCTCTCTCAACAAAAGGCTTTCAATGACCCAGGAGAATGATGACACACAAACTAGGCAGTATCTGGATGAGGATATGCTAATGAAGGTGCTGGAGTACCTAAGCCAGGAAAAATCAGAAAAAGGAAGAGATCACATTACCAAAAGGGCAATGGAAAATATGTAATTTGTTCCCCAAATATTATTTCTCTTCAATGTGTTTGACTTCTAGCCAATTTGGTTGTAATTTTTCCCCCACTTAACGGTAGACTCACAGTAGACTACTAACCATTGAACAGTCTGCTGTGTTTTCTCAGAGCTGTTATATTGTTTATGGCTATACATATATATATGTTATAAAACTTGAATTGAGTAACAAATTGCTTCAATTGTTTTAAGAAACAGTTTTATGAAATTAAGTAAAATTGTAATATGTAAACATATGACCATTGCATTGTTGACAAAAACATGATAAATGAATAGTGATAACTATGATTTGAAGTTTTTTAAATTAATTGGATTATTTTGTTACTGTCTGTAGTGATTTTGTGGAGTACTGAATAAAAAATAAAGCATTATATATAGATAGATAGTTTTATTTACAAGGCTTTTTCTATTCTGTGTTTTACTGTTCATGAATAAATTATTTCTGGACAAGAGACTGTGTTTCTTTGTGACAGTTGATAAACCTGGAGTTATTTTAAGGAAGCATATTTTTATTTTTATGTGCATTTTTTCTAAATTGCTGTTATTTTTTAATTCAGAATTAATTTGTAAAGTATATTCCTTACTTTCTGGGCTGCACACATCAATTGGCCTTATGTTCAAAAATAATGCTCAGCTGTAGCTCTTGATGAAACCATTGGGCATTGTGCATGAACTATATGTTTTGAAAATCGGGTGACTACTCTGGAAGCCTATAAAAATAGGAAAGTGTAACTCTTCATGACTGAATATTTCACACCCAACTAGGACAGAAAGCACATGTAAAGAACTCTTCTTCACAATTTCCAAATCTCTCATAACTTAAATTTTCTATATGTTACTGAAAAAGCATATCTGCTGCCTACCAACTTCTCTGCATACCCATTGTGTGGCATTCCCCATGGGGTCTCTTTCCATGGATACGTTTTTTTATTTTTAACCAAATTGCAGACTCCATTCAATGCCACCAAAAAGCAACTATTCCTAATGCTTACACTGGGCTATCTGGTAATCTGGTTCCATTAATAGATCTTGTGGTATAGACAAATTTGGTTGTGTTGTTGAATGGTTGCATCAATCTGGGGAAAATCCAGTTGGAAATTTCAAACCTGGATCTTTTAAAATTGGTCTCCAGCTCGTGTTAAGACTGTAAATCTGCCTGAAAAGCTGAGGCTGCACAAATACTGGTGCACATGAGTATTTAGGTACAGGAATAGTTCACTGATTTCACTGGGACTACTAATATACAGCGTTACCCATGTATAAGAATTTCCAGCTCGGATGTCTAAGTGATTCCCTTCTGTGATACTGTTCAGCATCCTGTTCCTCCATATGGTAAATAGATGCGTGTGTCAGAGAATGATTATAGGAGGAATGAGTCAAGTAATATCTAATGAAAAGTAACAGATTCCATTGCAGATGTCATCATTATTGCACACAATTAGAGATTAGCAGTATGTAAATAAAATTCCTTGTTCAAAACTCAATGAAAATTCTTTATTTTTTTCTATAGTAGGGCTGAAGCGTTCTTGTAACTATCATGGTCCAGGAAATATATGGGAAGAGAAGGTTTATTTGGGTAATAACTTTTATTGGACCAACTGAAGAGTTGGGAGACACGTTAGATGGTCCAGGCCCAAAAGCTTGTCTAACCTCTCCGAGCTCTTCAGCTGGTTCAATAAAATATATTATTTAAAAATACATAGTGAATTTCTTCTGTCAGTAGGATGATGAAAAAGCAGAAATTAAAACTACCATGTTGGGTCAGATGCTTTGCAGGATGAAGTTGGCAAAACTCCATTGTCATTGATCCAGAAGCACTTACAGTGATCTAGACCCACTGTATTTTACTAAAAACAGAACTACATTTTCTTAAAACAATTAATATTCTCTCATTGGCTAAAGTCCCAAGTATTCATTCTCTGGCAAGTTTTTGGGCAGTTAAATCAATTATATGACAGAATGCTCTTTGAAAGCATTGAAAAGTAACCTAGTGATTGCAGTAGGTTTATGTGAGACTTTAGGTTGCTTTCCAAGGTGATATATTTAAAAAGATGCTGAATTTATCAAACACTTTCAAGTTTATTTTGATGCAATGTTGAATACAGTCTAATTATTGGACTACATCCTTTTGTCTTCATGTTGAAACTCAGCCTAAAAACTGAAGATATCATCTCATGACACAAAGTCCATATATGTTCATATTCTACATGCTCCTGAATAATACATGCACCTGGTTTTGGGAAAGGAGAATGAAGGAAAAAAAGATGTTTTTCCATAGTCTTATCTATCATGGCTCTGGCTTACCCAGAATGGAAGCCTCCAGCCTCACGGAACAGGAGCAGAGTCCCATCAACAGTGTCACCTCCCGAATTCAGCAGCAGCTTTGAGAGAATTAAACTTGTAACTGTTGACCTTGCAGCAGGTAGAGGGGGAAGGGAAATGAGGCTGACAGTAGGACTGTGCCACCACTCCATGTTGCTGGAGTCCTGGGTTTTCTAGTACTAAGTACAGCCTCTGCCCCCCCCAATCTCAACGTTCCCCCGCATCCACTTTGGCATGGAAATCAGTCTCCTCACCTAAAACATGTACCCCAATTTTGGATGGCTAATTTTTCGGAGAAAGGCCCTTGTGATATGTGAATAAATATAGTAGCAGTAATAGAATTCATAACCTTCCTTTGCTGGATTACATCAGTTATTTTCCTTATAGCAGAAAAGATCTGAATCACACGTTTTTTAGTGAGGATAAATCAAATCAGATGAATGTAACAAAATGGGGATGTGCTCTCCATCAGTACCAACGTGAGGGACAGACCCACCCACCAAGCATGGAATACCAGGTATGCTGTGGGCCACAGACATTACCATGGTGTGTAATATGAGTAGCAGATGCATCCCTCTACTACCTCCGTATGCAGTGTTTTTCTGATGTGGTTGTACAGTGTGTGTCAAATCCCTAGGACCACTTGTAATGCAACCTTGTATGCAGTGGAAAAAATGGTGTATTGAGCAAGTTCTTTAATGCTTGCTCTCCTACCATGGCAGTAACATATTGTTTCCATAGCATCTGGGCCTCATCAGGTTGTGACTATTTGGGGAAATTGTATGTACTGCTTCAGGCAGTGACAAAAAAGAAAAAATAATCTTGTGCCTGGCACAAAGCTAACAAGGAAGGTAACGGAACTCTTTGATGACTGTAAACTGAAATGGAGCACTTTCTGATAAAGATATGGATACCACCTCCAGCAAACCTGTTTCTCAAGGTAGAACTATGCTCAGGTAGGCTACGGGATCAAATGTTGAGTGTATTCTTAATCCTAGAACCAAGCTTGAAGAGCTATTCAAGAGCAGGAAGAATAGTGAGGGAAGGAAATGCACGTAGTAGATATGCATGATTTAGTGTAGAACTATATTTTTAAACTAGCTAAAATAAAGTGTGATTTATTGTTTTGGAGACATTACAAAACCTCTTTGTCTGTTTCCCCTATATCATGTGTCCCTAAAAAAAGAGAATCATGTATCCAGAATACACACAATTGGCTTTCTGGGAAAGAATGGATGTAAGCTATAGCCTTGGCTCATCTCTCAAGAAGTAGCAGACAGAGCATCTGTGCCAAAAAAGTGCTTGATAGGCTGAAGCCAAAGACAATGGCTGCAATCAGTGGTGACTCAGGAAAGCCAAAAACATACAAGTCAAGTGAGTTAGGATATATACACAGTAGGCAGGTGAGTATCCAGGTAGAAGGTGCTTCACCAGGGCTGCTCAGGTTTATTGTGATTCTCTTCCCTAGCAAACCTGAATGGCACAATATCTGTGTTCGAGTGTTGCCAAGATCAGAACATTGACTGAGATTCAGTATTGGAAATGAGTCTGGTGGGTTGGGGGAAGATGTGCAGGCAGTATTGCCATGCCTACTACAATTGTGAAAATAATGTAGCCGATCCACAGTTGACCTCTCATGGCCCTTATTTGCTCTGAGTTGCTCCTGGAGACCTCCTTTTCAGTTCAATAGAAATGACACTGGGAATTTCTCTTGGGTATAGATTTCCCCCACCCACCCACACCGTACATACAGCAATCAAATCTTGACTTAAGTAGGTTTTGGATCAAGCTCCAGAACAATATGATTCTCCAGTAGAAGGCTGTCCCAGACATTATTAGAGACATAATGCCTCTAATAATAAATGTCTCTAACAATGTTTGTTTGTTCTCCTGTATAGGTTCATTCTCCTGTATTAAACTACTGTGCTAGTAGCTACACAAGGCGTAGCTGTGGATCAATATTAAAGTCACACATCAGAGTTAACATCTTGTGTTACTACTTCTCTCTCAAGGGTGCTGTAGAAAGGCATCGTCACTGGGTTTTGTTCCTTGGTTTCAAAAAAGATTATAAAATACTTTTCATTTGCCATTTGGAAATTAAAGTAGCAGAAAGTCAAACTTTATTTTTTAAATGGTGACACATGTGTAGTGTTGTCTTTTAAAAATTAATCTATTCTGTTTCTCCATCAGTGGTTGCCAAACAGTGAACTCCTAAGAGCTACATCCTCTCTCTATGATCCTGCAATTTAGTTCTGAGCCAACAGGTTGCTATGGTAGCAAGGACAAGAGCAGCAGACAGGGGTTACATTAGTTGGCTGCTCTGTTTTGTAGTAATTGAGCAATGCAGCTAAAAGCTGAAGAACCTGCAGATCAAATCTGCTTTGAAGTTTCAACCTGGGTTTCTGCTTTGTGCTAAAAATCCCACAGGGATGGCCTCCAGCCTAAACCTTTTAGCCTTACCTCTGAATTTGGAGTTGTGCTGTGAACAGAATGAGTATTTTCAATTCTATTTTTCATTTTTGTCAATATGTATAAGCATTATTAAGTACTGTTCATTCTAATGTCACCGAAGACTAACAGGTTCTAGGGACTTCACATGGCATTTAAAAGGTACTCTCATAACTTAAAAAGTATTCAATATCTTCTGGAATCAAAGACTAGTCTTCAAAATGCATTTTTTTTTTTTTTAAGATTCAGTATCTTTAATACAGAGAAACTCAAAAGTTGTTAAAAAATATGACCAGTATGCTGCCA